AGCACTTCGTCGACGGGACCGTCCGCGTCGACTTCTCCGTAAGTGCTCCGCTCTCCTTGCATCACGCTGGTAGTGCTCACTACGTCACGGTTAAGAGTGTTCGCCTTAAGCACTTCGTCGACGGGACCGTCCGCGTCAACTTCTCCGTAAGTGCTCCGTTCTCCTTGCATCACGCTGGTAGTGTTCACTACGTCACGGTTAAGAGTGTTCGCCTTAAGCACTTCGTCGACGGGACCGTCCGCGTCGACCTCTCCGTAAGTGCTCCGCTCTCCTACCGTCGCAGAAGTAGCGTTCTCCGTGCCTAGCACCTTCGCTTTGGCTTCCTTGACCACAGTCAGACAGTTGCGACTCGAAATGCGACCCCGGTGGCCCTTTTCTATGCTAGGAGTGTTGACTTCGAAGACCGAGCTAACCCACTGATGCTGAACCATGATATCACCTTCAGAGCCTACCGTCCTTTTGTTCTCTTTGACGATCTCTTCCTCAGCGACGGAACGCTTTTCAAACCCATTTTGAAATATGCAGACGGACGAGCCGTGTTCACCACCCACCGCGGAATCTATCGCGCGCGTGTTAGTGCCTTTGGTTGCGGGTTCTCGAACTTCGCCATCGTTCTTCATAGCAGGTTTCTCTGGTTCTTGCTCTACCAGTACCGTTCTCCTAACAGTAGTCACTTCAGCCAATTCTTCATAGCTATCTTCACTTAGTGCTTCTTCATAGTCTCGCGAGACACGTAAGGTACCAGGAGTGTTCTGGAACACTGTCGCATCGTATCTGGCAGGTTTGATCTCCTTGCGAAGAAATAACTGTTCTTGTTGCACCCTTCCGGTTACTTCTTCTACCCCATATTTTCGTTCCACACTCCAGTCTTCACGCGCACCTGGAACCATTGACGCACTGTACCATACGGACTCAGAGCGTTCTCTGATCGATGACTGTTCTTGTTTCCCTTCTTCAGTCACACGCGCTCCATTTATAATCGATTCACACACCTCCTGAAACGTTCCTCTCACCCCGGGACGCGCTCCATACCGCTCTGCCAAATTGTAAGCACTCCTCGCTGTAAATTGGCTGGGTGGTGTCTGTGTCCAAATTGGCTGGGATGGGAACACTTCCTGAGTGTGTTGCATTGGTTGCTCCAGCAGTCCGACTGCTGGTTGAAGTACTTGGCCGTTCGGTAATAGTAGATAGCCTCTGCGTAAGACACTTTACCGCATACAGCAAACGACGAATACAAATAGTGTGGGGGGATTACATGGACGCTGCCATCAGGCATCGTGACCACATCGACGATAGAACAACCACGGTACGACGGGATGGCACCGTCCCCGTGTTGTCGACTTAAAAACACGCATCCAGGACTGTTCCACCAGCCGTTTGACGGCTGAGACTTCTCGGGCCCCCAGCCCCAACAGTGCTGGGTCCACCTCGGGTCTTCCATCTTAGTGTTCGTAGCTCCTCCAACTCTCACCAGACAACGCCTTCTCCAGCAAGCCGACTACCCTGCTTCTCCACCAAATGTCGCACACCTCCCCTTCGCGCGGCGCCTCCGGCCGCGCTACTGGTCAGGGTCGGGCAGTCCGCGGCTGTTTGTAGAGCGGGGCCTTGCGTGGGGCGAGCGAGGAGCGGGTTGTAGTTGTAGAACGGTAACGAGCGGTAATCAGTGAAAAGTAAACTTGGTTCCTTGTTCTTTGTAGTAGGTGGGAAATATACGACTGAGAAACTAATGCGCCGGGCTAAAACGGGGAAAGGGTCGATCGCGCTCATGAGGATGACACCCCTTCTCCTATGCTCACCTGTACTCCTGGGCATGACTTCCAACCCAACGTGACACCCGGTTGACTCGATACTCAAGACAGTATATAGTTCGTGTCATCCGTCCTTGAAGCTGGCGAGGCAAGGGCAAACTCCCTCCTCAAGGTCTTCTCAATTCCCTCCGCACCAACCGTACCTCGCAGTCGGCGCTTGAACAGTTCCCACTTGATACAGTAGGACCCTGTGTGCTTTAACACGGACTTTACCTTCTTCGCATCTGGTGCACGCTGCTGGAACGACCCCTGCATTCCCGGGTACGGGACATGATCCATTCCTTGCAATGTGTCGCGTAAGAGAGCAAATTGGGCTGCGACGCGGTACACCTAGCGAGTACCTGATCCTTTTCGATAGCAAACGGCTCTTCTGAAGCAAAATGCATGGTTGTATATGCCCTTGAACAACTTACGCGTCTCCTTCTTTGGAACCTTTTTTGTGTAGCGTATCGATGAATGTTTGTAGCGACATAAAACCAGCACATCAAAATTCTAGTGTGTGGTAAGTGCTCGGCACAGGCATTTTATTGTGCAAGATCTGGATCTATCATGACGAATGGTGACTCAGAAGTGACATCCGAGACATCGCGGCAAACACGTTTCAATTTCATTCGGCACCAAACCACGTTCAGGGCACCGCACTGAGAGGTACAGAAATACACCATCGAATTGAATCGTGCACATTTGTTGGAATATCCAATTGCATATACAAAATATCCGTGAAGCACCATCGCACGCGTATTGTCCAGATGCACAGCAGTACAGCAATCGGGTCGGGCCCGGCCTGCAGCATAGTCTTCTATCATTTTGGTGCGTATCAATTCAATGCGTTTGTTTAATTTTTGAACCGTTTCAAACGTTTTAATGCGACTAGAAAAAGGCATGTAGCTAATGAAAGTATGAAAGATCCGAAATGCCTACTCGAGCTAGAAAAAAAGAAAGTTGCGGGTTTTACAAGGAAGGAGATGTATTGGTTGCTCGGACGATGTATTTATACTGCAGACGCACGTGAAAACGGTTGTGGGTAGTGATAAGTTAGTTTTGTATTTTTAATAGCGTTAATAATGGACCGGAGTAGCTGAGCTCGTTTCGTAAAATTAAGCTTATCGGTCAGCTTTTGATTTAAAGGGAATTTCATTGTGCGTTTGAGATATGCTGTGTAGACCGATGTCTCTGAGGAGCACTCACTCTGGCAAACAAGCCGGTCGTATTCAGTAGATAATGCCTAATCAAATTTGGCGTCATCCCTTTGATAGTTTGTCGCCAGACACTTGGTGGCTTTTGAACCACCAGTCTTTCCTGTCAAGTTTTAGGCGCAATTTTATCAGGCGCATTTATTCATTGCTCTGGAAGATTAAGGACATAGCTTGATCTGTACGTGCTGGTTGCTTTTTAAAACTCAGTCGCTAAAGGTTTAGCTAACATAAACATACCTATACCGAGAACAACGACACGGTCAGCTGCAGCTACGCACCATGACGGGATACGAATGATTGTTCAATGTCATAATTAGCACAACTTAAGTAAAAAATGTTTATCACTAATCCCTTTTTCAACTTATATTGACCATGATCGACAAAAACCACTATTTGGTACCTTAGCATAGATTCCTCTAATAAAACTGCTATTACAGCAAGGTTTGCGGTCCTATAGCTTGGAAGGGGGCTCCTTCGAGAAGTTCTTATTCACTCTGCAATTTCACAAAGCCCCCCCTTCTAGAAACCTTTGATATGCCCTGTGTGTCTTCGAGGGCTTCCAGCACTTTCATATAGTTTTTTAAAACAACAAGAGATTGTTGGAGATACCGAGACTTCGTCGACAAATATCAGCGTGAGGATTAACTCTAGCAGTGTCGAAAATACGGAGGATAGGGAATGCTGGATTGGATTTGGTGAGGCGTACCATATGGAATGGCAAGAGATGTGCTGTCAAGACGCCGTGGGTGGAGCAACCTTTGGCTTACAAGCGCTAGGCATAGCGAACTACTGCTCACGCACAGCATTAGTAAAGACAATGTACTATGGGTCACCTACCCGAAATCAGCTACCTACTAGCCCGGGTAAAGCACAAGATGAGGCTTAAGCTAACTGATTGCAAGTCTAAAACTTGTGAGGACAATGGGGAAATGCTCATGTCGCTATAAGCTCAACCTATGCGTCTGCAGAGATTCGCACTGTGTTGAGGCAGGACCAGCACATAATGGAGCCCCCATTCCGTCCAAGAAGAACACGACAATTTTAATAAATACACCTATAATCGAGAATTTTGGCGAGTTGTGAGAATACAACAGCAGCCCTATAGCATGCTGCTGTTGTGAGAATGATACAAAACCAGCAAGTGGACGGTCCAGTCCGAGGGAGCAATAGGTTGTCGACGTCGTCAAAACTAGAGACGTGCTGAGCATCATAATTTAGTGCATGATGTCGTACAGGTATGCGAAGCTCGACTCTAAGACCAACTCGAATGACAGCACCAGACCCGCTAGAGATGCTAAGGCTGTACTATTTGCGTCAGGAAGGGGATTTTCCACTAATTGGGTAATGTAGCATTTAAGAAGTACTGTATTGTACATCCGCCATTCCACCTGAGGTTTTACGTCAAGTGAAATTATATTCGAAGGCAAGATTAGTTGGCTTGTGGGCGGTACGTTTAGATTAGAAGTTGAAGCTCACCTTTTTCCCAAGTTTTCCAAGCTGAGCCCAAGGACTCAAGCCAGCTGACAACTCAGCGCTCCGGACGCCGCTCGCGCCACGTTGAGCAACGACCCATCCTAAACTACCTAAAGTACGCATCCGTGTGCCAGCATAAGCCCGAGGTATGGCCCCGACTTCCCGAGACGAGTATTAAATAATGTAATCTCTTAGCCATGCCTGCTATACAGCTGGAACCGGCGCGTGGTCAAACGAGCCACGTAACTCCCGCTCCCTCGCCGGGGACCAGGACGCGCTTCACGTGGTTGACTTTTTTACTGACCGTATTTCGCCCTGACCGGATCTTATGAACGGAGCTTTTTTTTTGGCATTGTCTTGCATGATCTGATCTATGAACGGAGCCAATACAATTTTCGGGTTAAAGACTGAAGAAATGTACCGGATTCTATTCGGGACTACAACAAGACCATTGATCCATTTGTGTTGGATCTTGTGTCCGTACGAGGAAAGCAGGAGAACCACTTACTGTCAGACAGAATTTATCATACTCACCCAAGGTATGACACGTCAGAATACGCATGATCGACGTAAGAAAAAGCGCGTCCATAGCCATAAAGTGGGGGCTAGTACAGGTCATGGTGCCGAGCGCCTACACACTTCACCTCCTCAAGCGGCCATCAGCATCGACAGCACCACCTCTGAGGGCTATAACCAACCGCCTTCTACACAGAGTCAACCCGTCTTGCGCGTCAAGAAGCAGCACGGCTCGAAAACGATAAAAATCTACAAGGGTTTCAAATATACGAAGTCGTGGGCGTCTACGAAGAATATTGTGTACCGGTGTAGTACGTACCGTACGTCACGCTGCAACGGAGTGTTAAAGATAACACCCCACGGTGAGTGGCGCGTGATAGGTGACCACAATTGTCGTAAAGACGTAATAGTTAACGGGTCGTTAAGGAATGAGACCGGTGCTATGAAGAAGATGACCGATCGTCTGGCAACGGAGGATCCTGGGATGCCCGAGGAAGCCATTTGGGAGCGTATTTGTTCTGAGTTCAATGGGCCCAATTGCGAGGAGCTTATCGAAGGGTTAACTGAGGAGCAAGTTAAAAGCCGCGTCCGTCGGGTTCGCCGCAGATACTACGGTGGAGACATTCATGGAGTAGTTGAGGTACCACCGTGCTCGAAGGTCAAGGACTCTGCGATCCCGTTCTTTCGTTTCCATCTCGTGACTGCCCACCCGGAACCGAATGCGCCACCCAACCGTATACTGGGGTGGGCTCACCCTGCTCTAAAGGAGCTTCTACTTTACAACAGTGTTTCAATTTTTATTGACGGTACTTTTAGATGTGTTCCAAGGGGCTTCTATCAGTGTCTGATCGTTATGGTGGATGATCCGGCTCGGAATATGTACACTCCGGTGTATTTCGTACTCTGTACATCCAAGACCGAGACAATGTACGAGGACATCTTGCACCTAATACACCGCGACACCGGCAAAAAGTTGTCTCCAGCTGAAGTTGTCTGTGATTTCGAGTTCAGCCTAATTTCAGCCGTTCAAAGTCTCCCCAACGCCGAGGTGGTAGGATGCTTCTTCCACTTTAAACAGGCAATACGAAGACGAATGAAGAAAGAACGTCTTACGGAAGACGAGATTTTGATTGCTATGGAACCTGGTGTACTTGACATCCTAACTGTAATCGATCCTGAGCTTGTCGACCCAAAGGGTATTGGATGGGTTAAACAAGAGATTAAACGGAAGTGTGCCGACAAAGGATGTGTGTACTCCGCCCAAGAATGGCGTAGGTTCTGGCTGTACTTTCGTAAAACCTGGCTAGAACGGTATTTTATTACGGAGTGGAATGTTTTCGGCATCATGAACTCGGTAGTTGCTCGTACTAACAACCCATTGGAGAGGTTTAACCGCGAAATGAATGCAGCTTTCAAGCCCCATCCCAATCTGCGCCAGTTTGTTTCAACGATAGGCCGAATGTCAAGTGCCTACGCCAGAAAGCAGGCCAGCATCACACGAGGGCTACGCCGGAAGAAACAGCGGTTACCTCGTATAGCACTTCCGCCGGTACCTGCCTTGACTGAGTTTGAAGTGCCACCTGACTCGGACAGCAACGACGCCGGTTTTGAAGAGTCTGATGTTTCCCTTGACTCACTCTGTAGTGAAATTGATGACAACCTGGGCCTGGGTGGAGATACATCGTCGGACGAGGAGTCTATGGGTGATGCTACTGATGAGGCGCTTACAGGTGCAGTGGCCGCCATAAAAGACTCAGAGCAGAGGATCACAGAGGCCGCGAATGTGTACGACAATTCATTGGACTGGGATGGAGATCAGGAGGCTGACGAGGAGAGCAGCTCAGAAGATGACTAATGGTACGTTGCTACAGAGCAACGATGAGCTTAAACTACATGACTGTACTTTTGAACTGGTAGCTTCTTGTACACAATTAACACACCATTTTAAGATCGGATGTTTGCACTGACATGATGATTTGACCGGGAAAAACATCCGGGCATAAGGTCCGGTCAGGGCGGAATACGGCCAGTAAAAAATTCTACGGCTTCACGTGCCTAAAGGGTTATCTCACATATGCTGTAAGTATTGTAACGGGGTACGTAGCACTAAGTGTACCCTGGTTACATGAAGTGTGACACTTCACACTTCAGGAGTATGACATGTCATACTCCGGGATATTTGGTACAAGGTACCAAGGTCATTCAAAACCAACCATTGGTTAAATGACATTGCATTTCTATAGGTAACTGATAGTTTGTATTAACCACAAACTTAACCTACCTATAAATATACTCAGTTTACAATCTACCTTATTTAGGTCACTTCGCTCTCTTTAATTAAAGAGGGGACCTGTGAACTGCCGTTCACTGAGAGTTTGTATACTCTCGGAAGATAACTTCCTCTAGCGCAAGGTGCTGTGTGACCCCGTCACACTTGGTAGCACTTGTAGTCAATCCACGCCATCGCGGGTAGACTACCTGAACCTCCGAAGTTCGTTGCCATGGATAGGAACGACTTCTCCCATATGAACGACTCTCAGTTCGAGTCGGTTCGGAAGATGGCAGGCATCTTCGGGATGGAGGCCCTGCAGAGCCTGGTGGTATCAACACCGGCTGAGCAGCTCGAGCGCGTCAATGCATTCGACGCGTACGAGCAGGGCCTCATCGCGCATGTGCGGGAGAACCTGCAGGCTCCGGCGGCGGAAGCAAACCCGTCTCACCCGAAGCCAATACGGCTGAAGGTAAAGCCGTATGAAGGGAAGGAAGGCGAGAACCTTCACTTCTGGGTCCGAGAAGTAGAGCTCGCGATGGACGCGGCTCTGATCTCGACCGAGCAACTGCGTGTTGCTTTTGCACTCTCCAACCTTAGCGGTCGTGCAAAGAGTTGGGTGTACACTCGGGAAGCGACATCCCCTGGATGTTTCACATCCTGGGCTCAGCTGTGCGAACAGCTCCGAGCCGCGTTCCTCCCGGCGAACTACGAGTACCGCCAGCGTTCGCGCTTCCTCGCGTGTAAACAAGGAAGACGCGAACTGCACGAGTATGTGCAAGAGATACGGGAGCTCACGGCGTCCCTAGTGGGAAACCCACTCAACGAACACATCAAGATGACTGTGTTCATGGACGGCCTTCGAGTGGGCCCCGCACGCACTCAGCTGTTCCGGGTGCAGGCAAGCACCCTTGAAGAGGCGATTCAAGTGGCTCTTCAAGAAGAATACAGCCATCGCCAGGCGCGTACGCCGGCCTCAGCGTGGCCTGGGAGTTCCTTGTCGGCTCCCGGTCGAACAAGCCCCAACGGACCAGTTCCCATGGAACTCGGGTCCGCCGAACAGCGTGACATCCGCTGCTTCGGCTGTGGGAAGATGGGCCACTTCAAGCGCGACTGTCCCGCGGAAAGACTCCGCAGACGGTCCTTCCCCAAGCCCGTCCTCAAGGGTCGCTGGCAGAAGCCAGGATCCCGGGGACAGGGGAGCGCAGGGAACCAGTAGGGGCGGGGCGCCCTACTGGGGAAGAACTAAGTCTTCGTGATGGGTGCGCGGGTGGCGCGTACCACGGGGACTTAGCCCCTGAGAGTCTTCGCACTCTCGAATCGGCGAAGAGCAGCGGCGGGTTGCTCGTAGTACACGGATGTGTACGGGGGTACGATCACCCCTTTAGAATCTTGATTGACTCTGGGGCGTCGAAGAATTTCGCACGCCGCCAGACGGTTGCTCGTAACAGCAACAAGTTGTCCGAAGCTTTGCGAGAAAGCAAGGGCAACGGGACGGTGTCAGTGCGACTGGCCGACGGGAAGGTCGTCACTGTCCCCAACGTCCAAGTGGATCTGGCTGTCAAGTTTGAAGACTTTGACAGCCTCGAACAGTTCACTGTTCTCGATATGGATCCATATGATATGATCCTGGGCATGCCCTGGCTTGAGAAGCACGAGCCCTGGATCGACTGGCGAGGCAAGGCAATCGGTGCCAGCCGCCCTGCGCAGTCCGACAGAGCATTGGTGAGTCATGTTCCCACCTCTGTCAGGACCCGGGGCGCCCGCGAGGGCTGCCAGGGTACCAAAGCATCCGGCAGATGCTTGGGAGTCGTCGACGTATATGACGACTCCGAGGATGTTTTGATGGTGGCCGCGCCCAGAAGAGGCGCCGGCCAAGTGGGTAACTTAGGTCCACAGGCGGGTAACTTAGTTCCGCAGACAGCTGCAGCTGTCATGAACACTGAGAACAGCGTGTTCAGAGTGGGTAACAGAGTTCCACTCACGGTCGCCCAGACCATAACTGAAGAGGAAGACGTCGGATACGCTTCCTGTGTGAGTAACACAGTGCCACACGCGGTCGCCCAGACCTTAACTGAAGAGGAAGGCGTTGAACACGCTTCCTGTGTGGGTACACAGTGCCACACGCGGTCGCCAGACCTTAACTGAAGAGGAAGGCGATGAACACGCTTCCTGTGGTGGGTACAACAGTACCACACGAGGCCACGAGTGCCTCGGATGTCGTAGCGACGACATCCCTAGACGTGGGCAGCAAAGCTCCCCGTCACAGAAGCCGTCGGCAAAGACGCCGCCGCCGCCTCAAGTCGGATCCGAACTTATTTCCGATCGACGTCGCTTCAAGCGACTCGGAGTCCAGGGCCCGGGCTCCTTCGACAAGGCCGGTGGAAGAGTGTTATCACATCTTCGATAGCGAGACGGGTTTACCCGTCAAGGCATCTGGTGTCCACTTGGAACCGTTGCCAGAGGTTGCAGAGATACTGAACCTCGAGGAAATGACGGCTGAGTCTTTCCTGGCCAACCTCAAGGCTAGAGAGATCGCTGAGATGGTACTCATGAGACCTGAGACCACTCAGGAGGAGCTGAACTCCTCCTCTGTCTTGGACGAGAACGTCCTGGAAGACATGAACAAGCAGCGTCAGGCGCGCTTGGGTTCTGAGATTCTCAAGAACCCCAAGGATCCGGTGTATCCTTTGGTGACGGAGTATGCGGACGTGGTGAATAAACACCCACCGACCCAACTCCCACCGGATCGAGGCGTACGGCACGAGATTGATCTCGTGCCCGGCACAAAGTATTGTGTCACGAGGCAATGGCCTCTCCCGCGCGAACAGTGCGAGGTCATTGATGCCTTCTTCGCCGCGAAAGCGAAGGCAGGCATGGTGCGGGAGTCGAAATCCCCGCACTCGACGCCGACTTTCTGCGTTCGTAAGCCGAACGGAAAGTGGCGTCTGGTTCACGCTTATAACAAGCTGAACAACGCAACGGTGCCGGCCCAAACACCGATCCCACGAAAGGATGTGTTGTTGAACAACATGGCCGGGAGCGTACTGTACAGTGCGCTGGATTTGGTAGACGGATACTACCAAATCCTGATGCGAGAGAGTGACATCCCGCTCACCGCGGTAAGCACTCCAAGCGGCATGCTTTGGGAGTGGCTCGTCATGCCGCAGGGCTTGTCTAACGCCCCGGCGACGTTCAATCGCCTGGTGACGCAATTGTTCCGCCCTTTGCGTACCTTCGTACAGACGTACTTCGACGACATTTTCGTCCATAGCCGTGCCGAGGGAGGCAAGACGGCCATGGAGGTGCATCTAGGACACCTCCGTCGAGTGTTGGACGTGATGCGAGCGAACAAGCTCTACGCCAACATCGACAAGTGCGTTTTCGCGTCACCAGAGATCAAAGTTCTCGGTTGCTTCGTAAGCAACGTGGGCGTTCGGGCTGACCCAGACAAGGTCAAGGCCATAGCAGCATGGCCGACGCCCCGATCCCAGAAGGATCTTCAAAAGTGGTTGGGTTTGGCCAACTACCTTCACAAGTACAGCGCTGGGTACGCGGGCTTCGCTAAGCCTTTGTCGAGCCTCCTTCAGAAGGACGTCGACTGGCGCTGGGAGCAAGAGCACCAGGATGCTTTTGACAGCATCAAGGCCAGTCTCCAAGAAGCCCCTGTCCTGGCTCTGCCGGACGAGACGAAGCCGTTTAGCGTCGTCTGCGATGCCTCCGATTACGCCATCGGGTGTGCATTGCTGCAGGACGACACGGCTGGACAGGAACGAGTCATCTCATTCCAGTCCAGGCAGCTCAAAGCCGCCGAGCGGAACTACCCTGTCCATGACAAGGAGCTCCTGGCAATGAAATATGCCCTTGTGAAGTTCCGTGTTCACCTTCTGGGCTCTACGCCCTTTGTGATCTACACAGACCACGCGTCCTTGAGGACGGCGACTAACTCGCCTCACCTCTCCCAACGGATGGCGAGGTGGCTGTCCTTCTTCGCGGAATATAACTTCCGCGTCGAGTACAAGCCGGGCAAGCTCAACGTGCTTGCGGACGCCCTCTCTAGGCGTCCCGACTATGAGTTGGCCCACATCACGCGGGTGACAACGGATCTATATGATCGGATACGCATGGCGTATCGGGACGATGAGGCTGTCGCGCCTATCGTCAAGTTCCTTAAGGCCGGAACGAGCGCGAAGTCCGACTGGCTCTCGTCGCGACAGCGCTCACGGCTCCACCGATATGAGTTGAAGGAGGGCCTCCTCTATTATCGGGTAGAGCCCACTGATCCTCCACGGGTGGTTGTACCCAACGACGAGGATCTGAAGTTCGACATCCTCGCGGAGGCGCATGACGCGCCCTCCAGCGGCCACTTGGGCCGCGAGAAGACCTTACTGTCGGTCTCTCAGTCCTTCTGGTGGACCCACATGTACAAGTGGGTCGCCCGGTACGTCAAGACATGTGAAACATGTCAGCGGGTTAAACCCGCAGGGCACTCTTCGGCTCCACTACAGAGCCTGCCCGTACCGGCTGATTGTTGGAAGTCGATGAGTCTTGACTTCATCTTTGGGCTTCCCGCCGACGGACACGGC